CTTTGTGGTCTGGAGTGTTTTGTGTCAGTATGTTTTACAAAGCTGAGCCTAGGAGGGATGGCTGAAATGTTGTGCAAGCAGCTGTCTCTGCAAGGCATCGAGCATAGCTGGCTGGGATCGCACTGAAAGACCTTTGTCAGCGTGTGCCTGCTGCCCTGTGCTTGGAGTCCAGCTTTTTTCTTGTCGTGGGAGATGGTGAGGATAAAGTCTTCTTCCTGCTGTGTGAAAATGCTTTTAAATCTCTCAGGATCTCAGCCTGAGCCTGTTCTCTGGGCAGGCTCAGCAGTGCAGTGGGTGAAGGTGAGTGGAGGTGACTAGTCATTCAGGCTATTCAAGTGGAAGGAAGCAGGGAAGAAGAAAAAAAAAGCAAGCCCTGCTGCTTCATCACTGCCTTCATGCCTCCCGCTGGAAACTAGTTTCTTCCCCAGCTTTACCTGTGGCTCCTGCTCTGGCTCTTCCCTGTGGGAGAACTTTTAGTGAAGAATAAGAAATGTGGTAGAGTGGAGAAAATTGTGATGGAAGCAGGAGAAAGGAGGAAACTGAAAATGACGTATGGTAGAGGAGGAGGCTTGCATATACTGAGAAATATGGATCTACCTGTGCTGCTTCCATCCATCCTGTAATGCCAGAGTTCATGTGACAATTACCCTCCATTTTTTGTTTTTTCCAACCTGACAGAAGAATGCGAGATCCTGAGCTTCAGCATTTGAAGGTATTACCCCAAGAAGAATAAAAATTAGCTTAAAAAGTGAAAAAATTAGAATTAACTTTACTTGTTTTAAGCCAGAAGACTATTTCTGAGTTGGTGTCATGGTTTAAGCTGGGCTGGCCACTAAACCTTGTTGAAATAGATTGGTAGCTTATCCCTGCCTTTCCATCAAAAAGATATCCTCTCTTAAAAGGGCAAGACGTACATAGTCGTATCCACGCACAGGAACCAGGTCATGTCCTTGGTGTGAGATAAGGCAAAAATACAAATTTCTAATTTCTCCCAGTTCATATGCTTTGAACGTAATCCTCAAAGAACCTTGTTGAAACTTTAAACAGGCATTTCGGAGGGGGGAAAAAAAAGAAGAAAAAAAAAAAAAGAGCAAAACCCAGCATATGCTTTAGCTAAGGAAGATCAGAGGAATTATCTTTTGAACTGAATCCAGGTGATACTGCTACACTTAATTGGGTATATATTGATAATGTTGTGCTGACATGAGCTGTACAAGACCTTCCACCTTCATTTGCTCTGGTCCAGTTGAGGAAGTTGCAAGTCCATAAGGCATTATCTCTGATCCAGTCATTTTATCCTCTTTTGTAAAAAGTAAGGGGGAGACAAAGATACATGTTAGGTGTGATGAATGCAAACTGGCACAGCTCTAGAAATGTCTGGATGGAGAGGGACGGAGTGTGTGTGTGGGGGTAATAGATTACAGTAGTGATGCAGAAATGATCTTGGGTTTATATCAACTGCAGCATTAGCACAGTTAGGACGAATTGGGATTGTAACTTTGGAAAGAAGGCATGAGTCTTCATGCATGAGCTTTATTGGCTATGTTTTGAAGTTATAAATCTGATGTTGTCTTGGCAATCTTTAACCAAATCTTTAACCTTGACGGACACCCACATTTCTTCAATATAATGAACAGATACAGGCAGCTGGGGCTACGAAAGTTGTCTTCAGAAGTGAACAGTGTTTTGTCATGTTGGGTTTGCTTCAGTTCACTAACTAGTGAAGGGCTCAAATGCACTGGTTGTAAAGCACTCTTCTGGAGTTCTGTCTCAGCAGCCCTGTGCCTTCTGGATAAAGAAATCTTTCTTTGATAAAGAAAGAAAACCGCAACAGACGTTTGCTGGGTAGTCTGTTCATAGTCCTGTTGGTTTGCAGCTTCTTGAAACGTGCTGCAGGAGCCCTGCGTTTCTGTACGAACAGAAGCGTGCTGGGTCTTCTCTCGCGATGAGGCTGGTGCTGGAGGGTGTTGCTTTCTGCAGTGCTTACCAGGCCTGGTACTCTCATTCAGTAAGAAGGCTAAACCCTTCTCTGCATGTGAATGGCTGGGAGAATGGGAAAGAAGAATCACTTCCTCTTTGAGTCTTTGACTTTACATCCGTGTCTCTTGGAAGACAAAAATGATGAGTTAAAGATAAGTGCAAGCTTTATGTTTTCGTCCACCCTGCATTTTGATCATGCGCTGTCAGCCTTTCTCATCAGCATGTGTTAAAATGGTTTTGTTTTGCATTATATTTAGGCATGTGCTTTCTCTCTTGTACTCGGTGTAGGACATCTGTCACTGTTCAGTTCACTGAAGGTTCCCTGCTTATAATCTGGTATTTTTTCCCCCCAGGGCATTTGTGCACTGATAATTAATAGCCCACATTATAATGTGAAAAGGCTGTTATTTATTTAAGATATATACAGGGAAATACATGGTAAAGTGAGACTACTTGAATTATTTGAGAAAAATTCAAATCTTTAAAGCATCAGTCTGTTACATGAACATCAGTAGCTGTTCCCCTGCCACATCACTTGGAGCTTTGCAACTGTTCGAGTATTTCCAGTTTTAACTCCACCAGAGTGATGATTAGAAGTCAGCTTGGTTTTAAGATGGCTGAGGTGACTATTTGACTAAGCTGACAGTCTAAATTTGTTTTATTCTGCCTAGTCACAGGATGTGAGATATAGGTTACTGTGTAACTGGCTTATAAGTTATCCCTGATATTAGCACCTCTTGAAGCACTGTTTGTGCAGCTGCAGCAGATGGTCAGGATGAGAACCGAAGGAGATGGAGCAGAGTGGAAGGCATCAAAGTGGGCACAGACTGTGCTTGTGCTAGGATGAGACACCAGAGTATAAATATAACTTCAGCCTAGTATTAGAGTAACTTCTGCTGATATTTTTTTTCCAGTTTATCCAATCAGCACATACATACTACCTAAAGAACATGAAGCGATAACCGGACTTAGAGTATATATGGGTATTTTGAGGAACTACTAGAGATATTGCCAAAATAATAATTGCACATTCATGCTTAGTGCATTCATGTTTCTTCCAGTAATTCCATGAGATAAAAGGTATTATTCCTATCTTACCTCCAGTGGGAGAAAGGGAGGAAGAAATTAATTGCCTTGTGTTGTGCTATGAATTGCTGGTGGAATTTGGTCGAGGTGCTGGAATTTGCAGTGTTAAGTTCAGTCCTGTAGTAACACTGTTTAGGGCTGTAAAAGCCAACTGGAGAAATTAATCTCTTGTTGTAATAGCTATTTCAGTGACCGATGCGGTCTACAGCCATCCCTACTTTGGCTCACTGTTGAAATCTGCCCCAGGGAAGATTGTCGTGTCCAGGGAGATGCAGCTGAGCCGGCAGTGGTGTGTGGTTCAGACATGATGAGAGAATGGTCTTTCTGTTGGTCTGAAGTCTGAACTGTGCCATGCATCATAGGAACCCCAGCCATGACTCTCAAAATTGACTTCTTTTTGATAGCATTTTGTAAAGAATGAATAAGTGGAGAATGCTTGAGCTTCTGTTCCTACCAGGGTAACGCTTTTCTCTGTGAGATGAGGTGTGTTGACGAGGTTATGTGATGAAGCCTGTACTCCTCTTTCACAAATTCACTCCATGGGATTTCAGGAGATACATGAAAGCCTCAAAGGTCTCTCCCTGCTTTCTCTTACTTTCTCTCCTCATTCTTCAGGATAGAATAGGCCTAACAGACTTAGGCTTTAATCGGTTCAGAAGCCAGGCAGGCTCAGGGAAGGACTTGCTTTCTTCTTAACTACTAGCTGGATAATTGCCAACTGATAATTGTGTGACATGTCACTCGTGTTTGTAAAGACCTGGCTAATACTGAAGTATTTTTTCAGTCAGTGGGTGGCAGGGATGATAGGATTAATCATACTGCATCCTATCTAACACCTTGGTTTTTAAGGCTACGTGGCTTAGAGGAATTAAAAGCGGAGTTCGTAGCCATGTTCACATTAGAAGCTCTGAGTGGTTCTTGCGGAGTTCCTTATGCTTTAATTGTAGTGATAGGTGCCGTACGTGACCCTCTGATACATAGACTACGAAATCCTTATTTCGACAGTAGCACCACACAAAGTAGGTGTTAGCTTTGTGCATTTAAGTATGAAAATGTGCAGTGGCTAAAGAATTTTCTTCCCAAATATTCCTGTAGTTGGGCCAGAGTTAATGTTGCTAGTAGGACCAGTGTATTAGTCTAGTGTATTGGTCCTAGCTAGCTAGGATGCATGATTAGCAACCCCGTGATCCAAGTAAAACTTGGAATTCCTTGAAGCTACGGATTCTGTAGTAATTGAGGAAGGAAAAACAGTGATGTGACCATGGGAGAAAGGAGTATGGTAGCAACAGCTGTGGGATGAAGTGTAACAAATGTAGCTGTGCTAACTTTACGTGCTTGTTTTTATTCATATCTGCAATTCAACCTTTCACTCATTTTTGTCTATTAGGCTGTAAGATCCCTGATTTGTTTAGGGGTCAGTTACCATGGATATTGCAGTAAAGTCCCCAGCTTATCCTGTTTGTAATGAAGTTATTTTTTATATTTATGTTTGCTTTTACATTGTTTACATTATTTTTACAGTCTTCAAGTGTGATAGGCTTCCAACCATTCTGGCTGATATATTTTTGTAAGATCAGAAAATAAAAATAGAAAGTTAATGTTTTACTGCCTTTTACCACTGAAACTTTGGTAATGTAAGAAGGTAATTCTTTTATTTTGTGATGGATTCATGGACCTTTATTTTGGAGGGAAAATGTACTCAAAGATGTCAATATCCTCAGTGATAAAGTAACTATAAGAAAGACTAATAAATGTGTGAAAGCTGTTTCCTCTTTTCAACTTCAGTTGTTCTTTGGTTCCTTAGTTTTGTCAGCTCCTATATTAAGGAGTATGTGTGTATATATATATACACCTATGTATATTAAGGTGTTCATTACAGTACTGTAACTTTGTGAGATAAGAGTTTTTCTAATTGTTCGCTCTTCTTATTTCAGAACCGAGAGCTCCAGATTATGAGAAAGCTGGATCATTGTAACATTGTCCGATTGCGTTATTTCTTCTACTCTAGTGGAGAGAAGGTAAGAAGGAAAAAGAAGGCAATGCCTTCTTGTAACCATCTGGGGTACAACTGAACTGTTTGATTTTTCTAGAGACAGGAGTGTGAGGATAGTAGATGTGATAACATTGAGAAAATGCTATAGTGGTGCCCAACAGATCATGCTGGAGCAGATCTCTTTTAGTATGAAGGTGTGTGGTCCATGAAGAGTAGTGTTATTAGTATAGCACAACAATAGTGTAACAGATTTGCATACATACCACTTTTTTTTTTTTAATTTAGTGGAGCACAGCTGGGCTTCATTTGCATGTTCTAGCACTACCTTTCCATATGTGCAGATATGTTTTCTAGGATTCAGCGTTAAGCACTCTAGTCACTTATGTGACTTTTCCCAGACTCAGTCTCGGTGTGCCTCTGTCCCCCTTCCTTGTGCATCTGTTCCTTATACATGCTGAGTTTCAAAGCCCAGAGGAAAGGATAATGTATGATCGCATGATTGTATCATTTTTTAGAATGCTTATGCTTCAGAAGAAGGGTCAGATAGCGGGATTTAATAAATCTGAAGTAGACACTGCCATTTATGTTTTCTTTCAGTCTAGGTATAGAAGTTCCTTGGGCCTTTTAAAAAGGGATTACAAGGTTTTGTTTTAGTATGAAATTATAACAGCTTCCTTGTCTACGTATGTATCAGCATTTTAGGAATCATAGGAGAATTCAGGATGAAGTGCACCTCAGGATGGTATCAGGTCCAACCTCATGCATAAAGCAGTGTCATCCATGAAGTCAAAAAAAAAAAATATCTTTCTGGCCCATGTGGGAGTTAACGTAAGCTGTGAGGTGGGGAAATGGGGTAGATGACCTTCAGAATGTCTTCTGATCTTTTTATATATGGTAATAAATATTTATATAAATTATATAATAATTTATATAAATGTTATAATTTTTAATTTTTTTAAGCAGGTCACGTCACTTGTTGTCTTCAGCTGCTAGTATACATGTGTCCACAATGCTGTAAAGGACTGTACACTGAGAGCTGATAACTACTGGAGGCCTATTAATGGCTGTTGCCATAAAGTGGGTTAACAGAATGGAAGAGGCAACCCACCCACTTCGTGGTCTTTGGAGCTAGGGAAGGAACTGATATCTCCAGGATGAGTTGTTGGTGGCAGGTCACTGCAGTCTTGTGCACTGCACAGAGAGATAATTGGAGGAGCTCTGTTGTTACCTCTGAGAGGTGTTTGTGGGGGGACCTGTGCCTTGCCCTGTGCCTATGGAAAGCTTGCAAAGCCACTTTGCAGGAATCAAGGAGAAATGTGATTTAATTTTAAAATTTTTTTTTTGGATCAGCCCTTTCCCTTCCTTCCTTCCCCTTGCCTGTGATAGCAAGCATTTCCAGTGTTATATGGTCATTGCTGTTCTGTTGGTAGTGCAGTGTAGTTTTTTTTTTTTTAAACTATATTGTGCTCATTTAGCATACTACTAGAAATTCCTCAAGCAGCATTGACTGCAAGAAGGGAAATACTGTGAAGGAGGGCTTCATTTTGGATTTTTTGTTTGCTTTTTTAACCAGCTTGTAACTTGGCTAGAGTGAAGCACAGTTTCATGAGACAAGCAGAAGACAACTGCCTTATTGAATAGCTTTCAGAAATCTGCAAACAGTGGAAGTGTTAAAACTTCTCAGAACACTGTTCCAGAAGCCTTTGTATAACAGTAACTTGAGTAAAACTCTTTTGGAAATCTTTAACTTGATGTTGAGCTTGAGACTGGATTTTCCACTTTGCTGTTTCAACTCCACATGGCTGATTCTTGGCAATGCTAGTTTTGTTTTCAAAAATGTGGTCTCTATCCATGACCAGTGAATCTTGATGCTTAAGTGGGCAATTTTCTTTCAAATTTCTTTCTGCTCTTCCCTTTCCATGCCTCTGCTCTGTGCTTTTGAGATTTCCACTGTTCCCCTGTCGCAAAATGGGACAAATGTGAACCAGTCCCTAAAGCAAAGCTGCACCCAGCAGAACATCAGCAGTGTAACGTTGCAGTTCATATTGCAAGCTCTTTTTGTAGTTCAGTACAAAATGGTACCTAATTGGCTTGCAACTGTTTCCATGTAGGTAACGGCATGTGAGGATAACTGTGTGTGAATTTGTTGACTGCTATTTGGGAAAAGCTCTAGAGAGCAGCCAGTCAGTGTTCTGAAGCTCACCTGAGAAGGAAGAATAATGCTTCCCAAATTGACAAGATCAGAAGTAGTAACAATTAACACGTTTTCCTTCGTGTTGCCCTTATAATCACCCTGGCTCTTTGGAGAGTGGAGGAAAAGGGATAAAACTGATTTAGTAACTGGGAAGGACATGTAGGAAGCAGTTGCAGATTTAGATGCTAGGTATCCAGTGCTTTATATAACATGATTCTGGAAGCCAAGTCCAATGGGAAGAGTAATGCAAAAGTCCAAGGAACGTGTAGCAGAAAATGCAGTAGCATAGTGATGAGTGGGGCTTGCAATTGTTGTCTGTCTTCATGAAGAACTTAACATAAACACAGATTAATGGCAGTAGACTGTTAATTAAGTCTAGCAGTGGTGGGGAAATTTCAGAGGTAACTATTATACTGCTGAAATAGTTCACCAATGAACTTAATTTTGATACACATATATCAAGTATTCTCTTGCATAAATGTTTTCATGCTGCAGTGATCATTCCACCTGTTTGTTCCAGCTGAAGTGTTCCTTGGACTTCTCCCTTCTTCCCTGGTGTGTGACACCAGGGTCTCTAAGCCCCAAGACTTTTCTTTCTTTGTGAGTTGTTTGTTTGGGGTTTTTTGTGGGTTTTTTGGTGTTTGGGTTTTTTTTTTGGCAAATATCCGAGAAGATTAAATGTGTCTCGATATAGAGCTACCTCAAAGGATTTCTCCAATCCAGTCAGAATGGCACTCTTGGAAAGCCATGTGCCTATTAGGCATAGAATCATAGAATGGTTTAGGTTTGAAGGGGCCTTGAAGATCATCGAGTTCCACCCCCCCTGCCATGGGCAGGGACACCTCCCGCTAGACCAGGTTGCTCAAAGCCTCATCCAGCATGGCTTTAAACACCTCCAGGGATGGAGCTTCCACAACTTCTCTGGGCAACCTGTTCCAGTGCCTTACCACCCTCAAAGTGAAAAATTTCTTCCTAATATCTAATCTAAATCTACCTTCTTCCAGTTTGAAGCCATTCCCCCTTGTCCTATCGTTACATGCCCTAGTAAAAGTCCTTCCCCCAGCTCTCCTGTAGGCTCCCTTTAGGTGCTGGAAGGCAGCAATAACATCTCCCCAGAGCCTTCTCTTCTCCAGGCTGAAATAAGTCACTTTAGTTCACTTTAATTGCTAGGCATTTTTAGGCACTGGGCAGTCTTAAAACTGGCTTTTTTTCTAGCCAAGCGAGGAGTTTAATTCTTGATTAGAAAACTGGAAACAACAGAAAATAGCCTCAAATTGAAAAACAGTTCTAAATAACACTTGGTAGTAAGACTATTCCTTAGCTACATTAAAGTTGCAGCTAATGTGTAGAGATTTGGAGCTCTCTGTTCACTTTTTCTAGGGGCTATCCATGGAACTGGTTGAAGTGTTTGAGCTCCCAACTTTTCCTTTTCCTTGTGGTAAACTCTCCTTCTTATGTCTCACATTTGCTTAAACTTTCTTCCTCCTTTTGCGAAAAGCAATCCAGCATTAGCAGTGAGGAAATCTTGTATCAAGCGTGGCTTTGATTTCTTCTCCCTTATTTTCTGTGACTGGCTGACTCCTTGCCTGAGCATCTTTGAATTTGTGTTGCCATTACATAGGTATACCCTGTATAGGGGTGTGTGTATATATATATGCACGTACATGCATGCACACACGTATGTTTATACCTTTATATTTATATATAAGTTGTTTTGAGTACTGACTACATATTAATCATGTTTGACTAATGGTTCCTAGTTTAAGAGAGCTCAAAGAGAGCACGTAATATGTATTAATATCATAGTTGACAGGGTTGGCTTTCAGGTTGCTTCTATAAACTATTTCCTCCTCACTTCTTTCTTTTTGTAAGTTTACAGAGGTTTGTCAGACCTGTTGGATAGCCCAGTTCTTTCAAAAGACTCTTCCTTAATGAATTTGCCAGAGTAGATTCTGATTTCTTATTTTTTCTGAGGCTGTATGAGATATCTGATAGGAGGGCACCGACTTTCATACCTGTAATGTGTTTTTCAGTGGTCCAAAACCTGTAATTATAACTGGTGGAATAAACCAGAGGGGAAGAGAGAACAACCAAATAGTGGCTGAGTTTTGTATGGAAGACTCTCTTGGTGGAAGTAGTCATGAATCTCTTCCATGCTGTATTTCTGTGCTTTGTGGTTTTCTACGTAACCTTTGGAGAAAATGGGCAGGATTATAGGGCTAGTCAACTCTACTGTGCGTGATAGTTTTGGTATTCTGCCTTTCGATAAGGTCTTGAACAACATGCCTGGTTTGCCTGTCAGCTTCTCACTGGGAGATCAGACTGTATTAGGAAGGCATACATTTCTGGTCTAATTTTTGCTACTTTTCGTTAATTTCATGGACTTCCTTGCATTTAGCACAATATATAAATGGAAATGTTGATTTGCTGAAGCAGGGGTGGATGGTCTTGCTGCATGTCCTTTTCAGCCTAATTCTGCTGAGAACGTTTTGAGCCATGTTCCAGTGGAGGGCGGACATGGATGTACCAGATAATCACTCTGGCTCCTTTGCTGATAGTATTCCCCGATATTTTTTTTTTTTTTTTTTTAATAGCACGACCTAACTTCTTAAATCAGTGGCTGCTGAGTAAAATTACTCAGCTGTGTAAAACCTGAAATGAGTTCCTGATCCTTTTTTTTTTTTCCCTATTTCTGATTTAGATCTTTATTTGTGGTATTTCATAACTGTCGGGGTTTTCTTGTGTGGGTGTTTTTGAGTGTTCAATAGTCTGATCGATCCATATGTGTGCCCAAAAGAGGAAGAGAAGTCACTGGAGAGGTTTGTTCCTGC